TCATCACTAATTTAGTTCAACAAACTGTCACAACATTTGGCAAATTAGATGTATTGGTGAACAACGCCGGTATATTTAAGACACTAAACATCACCCAAACAGACGTAATGCAAGTTTGGGATCAGCTCTTCGCAATTCACTTGAGAGCAGTCGTCGAACTGATCCACGAATCGGTTCCACATTTGGAGAAAACTAACGGCACTATCATTGATATCTCGGGCATTGCTGCCATCGCTCCGGTATTAACGATATATTTATATAATAGTGAGAAATTAATTTTATAATAAATAAAATCATTTATAGCTCTCTCAAGAACTAATCCCCGGCCCCGCCAAAGATATGATGACTCGAGTACTGGCCCTTGAATTGGGTCCCAAAGGCATTCGTGTCAACTCTTTGAGGTTATTATTACTTAATATTTTTTTGAATTTTTAAATTAAATGGTTTATTAATGGACAATAGCCCGGGCTCTATTCAAACACGTGAAAAGTTGGACCCTATGTATGAATTCGCGAAGAAAATAACACCACTCCAGCGATTGGGACAACCATTAGATATCGCCAAAGCCGTGGCATTCCTGGCCTCAAGTGATGCCACATTCATAACCGGCGTTAATCTGGTGGTTGACGGCGGACTCGTTTATAATTTTGGTGCTTTCAATACTCTCTGAAATATGTTTAGCTTTTGTTGTAAATGTAATATTTTAAAATTTAATAATCATAAACTATTTGATGAAAAATTTAAAATGTATAAAATAAATAAGAAATTTTAAATTGTTTATTCATTAAAGATTTTTGTAATATAATATAATTTTTGTTATGGCTATTAATAATACAATAAAATTATAAAAATTTAAATCTAAATCTTATTAATTAATTAATTATACATTATATCTAGATTTTTATGAGAAATCATTTTCAATGTCTATTCTGTGTACTATTATTACATTTAATAAAAGTAAAAATATGATTTGTTTTTAAAAATAAAGTTAATAGTGTTATTTAAGTTAATTTCAATAAATTTCGTAATTTTGATATCAAAGATTTTTAAAAAATATTACTTCATTCAAACCCAATGTTCAGGGTATTGGTTGTATTGCAAAATTAAATGCTGATATAATTACAAGAGATAATAACTTACAAAACTTAAAGGTTATCTACACTAAAAATGCACCAGTTCATAAAATTGTGTATATAAGAAGGTATTTTTGTGATATAGTACAGTACAAGTATTAGAAAGTTTAAAATATTAAAATATAATAAACAAGTTAATTTTTAAAATGAAATTAATAGTATTATTGGCATTGATTTCAATAGTTTGTGATTCATTGCCTTTTAAAATAATGGTTTTAATATATTTAAATGTCAAATAAAATTATAATACGTTATATTAACTTTTACTTATTAAATGCACTTAGATTAGAATTAATAAATAAAGCTTATGATTAATTAATTTGACATTTCTTATCAACTAACTTAATATTGCTTCATTTCAACCCCAATGTTCAAGGTGTATTAAACGCAGGGCTCTACGATAGCCGTCGTAATCTTTACTGCATCACACGATCATCACATTAGTCTTAATCTTGTGATTTTACATTTTGGGACATGTAAATTCAAAAAACATAATTTTAATAAAATTTGAAATATTTGGCAATATTTTATCATCAATTATTGTATAAAGTACTCAATAAATAGCTTTGTATAAAAAACTATAAGGCCTGTTTTTTTTATTAAATTCTGATTTTAATCTTAATAATCATTAAATAATGTAACAATACATTAGTTTATGGATAAAATTAACAAATAAAAGATTAAATTTGTTGAATTTTACATTTTAACTGGTACGCTGAACTTTCTTGGGTGGTTCTAATAGAAAAATAATATATTTATAATATAATAATTTTAAGTCTTTTCTAAGAATTTAATACTTAGAAATAACTCAATTTTACAGATTAGAAGAATACTCTTGATTTATTATCTAAATTTGTAATCCAAAAATACTTTGATACAAAGCTATTTATTGAGTACTTTATACAATAATTGATGATAAAATATTGCCAAATATTAAAAATTTTATTAAAATTATGTTTTTTGAATTTACATGTCCAAAAATGTAACATCACAAGATTAAGACTAATGTGATGATCGTGTGATGCAGTAAAGGTTACGACGGCTATCGTAGAGCCCTGTATTGATATTATTGCCATTGGAAACATTTATTGTTTTTGGATGCCAGAGGGATCAAAGTTGCGAAATAACAAACATGTAAACAATTTTTATTTTGAATATTTAGCACAATAATTGTGCTCACAATTATTGTTAACTGCAATACAGTAAATTACTATTATTTGGATAGACTATGATTACAATAAATTAATAACATAATATATACATCAGAATTGTGAATAAAATATTGTTTTATGTACAGTATATGACGATATTACAGAATACATGAGTTCAAAAGCGTTATTAATTTCACACAGGCATTTATTTGTGCAGAGGCTGACAGGAATATAATTTTTTAATTTTTTCAATAATGTTATTTTTTATTGTACACCCGACCATACAGCTAATTGATCATTTCTAAATCAGTAATTCTTTGCTAATTTGTAAATATTATGTTCACATACAGTGTCATACACCGTTAATTGAAAAGTTTTGCCCAACTATTAAAACTAGCCATGTATTGTCACATATTGTGTGTGGAAATGACCCAAAACTATGAAATATATAATAACTATATTTAGAAAATAAATGAAAAATAAGAATTGTTCAAGAGATAACATTTTTTAGACTTATCTCACAAATACCTTTTGGCTATAAATAAGTTTGTGATACTCTTGTGGATTAAGTATAGGTAAAAATAGTGGGACTAAAAATCAATAATCCTTCGTCTGTTGAGATAACAAATATTTTTACATAAAATCTATTTCGTTCATTAAGCCTACGAAATAATTGTCAATTAAATGTCTATAAGTATATAAAACATATTTTGATAGGAATTTACCTTCGAGTTATATATTTAGACAATAATTTATTATTTTTATATCATATTACATGAGAAATCTCTAATTTCATATTTATAAAATGATTATTTTGGGAAAAATATGCATAAATGACAACAAGTTTAATTCCAATTAATTAAATATAAAATAGTGAATGGATCATTTTAAACTTATCTTTAATACTGTTTGTATTTCTGAGTGATATTTATTAAACCCTTGAGTTATTATAGAATAGATAAAAATGAAAAATTATATCTAAAAATTGGTTTTTTATTTTATTTTTTGATGTGTTTATCTCTTATACTTTAAGAGTGTATACTTTTTTAAATTCAATTTCCTTTTGAACATAATTTTGAAATACAGCCGCAAATAAATTTATATAGATTATATGACTTTTAAATCCTTTTAGGAAATTAACTGTATTTAATATTAGTTAGCCTAATATACTAGTAATATATTGAAACAAAAATCCATTTCCAAATGTACGCTATTTATATCAATTTTAACAAAATTTCTGTCATTTTCTTCCAATTAAATAATAATTTAGGAAATTAAAATTAAATTATTGATAAATTTATTAATGATAACATTGATATTTTGAAAACTTTGTTTTATTGTTATTTAAACCAAAATAATATAGCTTAATATTCCAATTAAATGATTTATTTATATAAAAATAGAAAAATTAAATATCACAAACATTATTAGAAATGTGATATATTGAGTAAATCTAAAACCTAATGGAAAACGTTTAATTATAAATAATTGTTAAAATACAGGTATACTGTATAAATAATTTACAATACTTAATAAAATTTTAGATGAGTGATTAGAGTTTTGTTTTAATAATGGTTTTATATTACTTAATCAATGGCAGTGAAAAAACACTTCTAGGAAAATAATTAGTTGGTAAACTTTTATTGGTTATTAACTTCTTAGTCTTACATGTATTATTGGATAAAGGATAAAGGTTTCGAAAATTTTTTAAATACAAAATACAAGTACACAATTTATTTGTAGTTTACCGTATTGCTTAATTTAATTTATAAATATGTTTGATTATAACTTATAATTTATAAGTAATACATAAATATAATATTGAACAGCAAATGTTATCATTTATAAAAATAAAAACATTTGATATAAACATATGATATAAATATTTGATATATTGATTAAACCTTTTACCGTAAGACCTTTTCTCTATTCCTAATATTATTGTGCTTTTAATAATAAATATGTTGTTGTACAAATATTAAATAGATATTTATTATTTTTATATTTTACCCTTTGTTATAATTACTTTATACTGTTTATTTTAAACCAAATTCAACTAAATTACTTTATAGTAAAATTATTATCCAATAGTATATACATTAGTTTTTTAATAAATTAACAATTTGAAACAATTTAATCTTAAAATAAAAACGGTGTTAAAAATATTAAAAACATATGTATCATAAATATTGACATTAGTTTGTTTTATTTAATTAAAATTGAATAATAAGCAATTTCAATAAAAATAATACACAACTGTTGGCAAATACTAATTATTTCTAAAACGCTCTAAGAAAAATATGTTTACTTTAATGCATTATAAACTTTCCATTTTATTATTTATTTTTATTTTATTAAATTTCGAGGCATCAGCAAAACACGTAAGTATTTTATTCACAATATTTTATAACACAACTCGTTCTGTATTTTATTGTAATTTTGCTAAAATAAAGTATTATTAATTAATAGTGTAAAGTATGTAGAAATTATTATTACAGTTATTTTTAAACTTGTTGAATTGCTTAACAGACATTCGGCAATCATTTTCTTTCAGTATTTAGATAGTTATGAATCAAGACACTTTTGAGTTTACTATTAAATTAATTTCCTAGAGCAAGCAGTTTTATTCAAATACAATAAATAGCTTTTAAGTTATAAATAAATGAACAGATGGCTGCGATATTTGTCGCAAAGTAGTATAATTTTAATCTAGAAATAAGGTTTCTATGTTTTGACTGCAATTAGTAAGTTATATAATTAAGCGTTATTTTCAATCATTATATCATTGAATAAGTCTGAAGATTATATTGAATTAAGTCTGGTGTGTAGCCATTGAGTTATAGATTAATGAAGTCATTATTTCAGTCAATACAACAAATTTGTATTGTATACGAAGACTAAAATACAGTAGTAAACAATATATTTACTCAGGAAAGTTTTTTGAGATTAAAATCGGTCACAAATATAAACGAACCAAAAGTATAATAAATTTTTAATCTCAAAGAAACACAAAAAAATAATATATTAATTTTGTATCATATACCAAATACATTATTATATAAAGTTTTTTGAGATTAAAATCGGTCACAAATATAAACGAACCAAAAGTATAATAAATTTTTAATCTCAAAGAAACACAAAAAAATAATATATTAATTTTGTATCATATACCAAATACATTATTATATTTTAAGAAAATTATTAATTAATATGTAATTATTTTAAAAATTTATAAATCTATTCAAACAAAAAATACAACTTTTAAATAATATACAATATTATATAATACGTGTATACAAAATATTTTAATAACAGGTTATTTTGTTTTTGTTAAATCTAGAATTTTAAAATTAAATTTTAAGCATAATCTGTTTATAATGAATACATTTATGAAAATAAGTTAAAATTTAATTATACGATAGAAATCGCGTCGAAAGCGAAGTATACGGCAATTAGTGAACAATGATTTCAATACAACCCTAAAACATATAACAATTCCTAGAACTTCAGGCACTGAGGGAAATAAAATAGTGAGAAATGTAAGCAAAAAATGTTTTAATTAAATTTAAAGACATTGCAATAAATGGATGCCATTTATAATTTAGTATATCATAAGTCAAATGCGAGACTTGGGTTGGAATGTAAGCGTCGATTCCTTTGATGATAAGACTCCGTACGGATCGAAACATTTCTCAAATATAATCGCTACTAATAACGAAAATGCTTGCAAACGGGTATCCATTGCCTGTCATTACGATTCAAAGTATTTTCCACTCTTTGATTTTGTCGGTGCAATAGATTCAGCCGTTCCCTGTGCTCTACTCATCCATTTGGCGGCACTTCTTCGTCATGAATTGGACAGACATAGGGCTCAGGTATCGCACACTCGGCCAACATATTTAATACGATAAATATTCTCAATATTTTATTCTTTATTACTTCATAAGAATCTCAATCCAAGCCTTCAATTCATATTCTTTGACGGCGAGGAAGCCTTTCATTTGTGGTCTGGTATGACACGCATTGAATAAATCATTTCATTATATGGTACTTATTAATGACATAATTGACATTCAGCTAAGGACTCGCTATACGGCGCCAGACATTTGGCCGAAAAATGGCATAAAACTCAAGTTAAGAATACAGGGAATTGTCATTTGGATAACGAGTTGCAGAGAATGACAGCACTTATCCTATTGGATCTAATCGGCGCTAATAACATGAAATTTAATAATTTTTTCGCAAACACTAGTTATTTGTACTTAAAATTAATGGCAATTGGTAAGAGCTTCATGTTTACACACATTATTTCAAATACGGTTAACAAACAAATTAAAGCATATCTCACATTCATTTGCAATTTATCGATCGACAAAGAGATCCCAACTGTATATTCTGTATACAATTTACAATTCTTTATATACTGGCTGTTTATTTTGAATTTATTCATAAATCATTCATTTTTATTATATTTGTCTCATTTTCAGAGAAGCAGTACAACAACAATAGAAATCAATTATTCCCATCGAGTCAGGTATACAACTATGGGATACAAGACGATCACGAGCCATTCCTCAAGAAAGGGGTACCTATTCTTCATCTCATAACATCCCCATTCCCTCCGGTTTGGCACCAGGAAGACGATGACATCGATCATCTCGACTTTTACTCAATTAATATATTTGAAAATATTTTTTACGATTTTTTAAAATCTGTATTAAATTTATGATAAAAATATTATCTAGTATATGTTTTAAATACAAAAAGTGAGTTTCAATATTTTAATAAAAGTAAAACATTGTGTATTCTAGAATTCTGTATCTAAATGTTAACGTATTTATGGTCTCAACCCCCCCCCTCCCTCTCCTGTTGTGAATCACTCCTACAGTACATTGTATACCGTATTCTGTGATCAGATAATCTGATTCAGATTCTCTCAAAATATGAGCTATTCTATAGGTATCTCTAACTAACTCACAGGTAATCCGAGGCTAAAGTTTATAATTATCGTTAATATATAAAACAAATAAACTTTTAATATAAAAATCAAACAAAATTTGGTCAAATATTCAAGACTTTCCTTCACTCAACACTAAATTGATCAGTAAATGTGAAGTTCATTGACTTAATTATTTATAAAATTTAACATCTCTATTCCTCTCCCAATTATTATACTTTAAAATTTAAAGTTTCAATTATTCAAATCGATTAAATTTTTATAAAATGATTTGTATGGCAATTATTATAATGTGCATAAGTATTGAATCTAAAACATTAGCGTTAACTAAATCTCGAGTATTAGTGGAACAGAAATATATACTAATTATTCAAATCGATTCAATTTTTATAAAATGATTTGTATGGCAATTATTATAATGTGCATAAGTATTGAATCTAAAACATTAGCGTTAACTAAATCTCGAGTATTAGTGGAACAGAAATATATACATAACATCACGAATGAATCAAATAGGACTTCAAGAAGTTCGTAATCTCCATATCATTCAATTGTTTCATCACTTAATTATGACAAACATTAACTTTATTTGAATAAATAGTTTATTTTCCAATTTTCCAAATGATTGAGTTTCCCAATGAGGGCTGTCTTACAGTGGATGGACTGATGGGCACCTGTTATGCGAAGACTGAATGCGATCTTTTCAAAGGAATCACACGAGGATTCTGTGCCCGAGGTTTCGGGGTTTGCTGTTTCTGTGAGTCTATTATCTGTTTCATAAAATTCATGTCTAATTCGTGTAATGTATGTCCAAACGTATAGTTGGTGTGTCGTGTGGAGGTGTGGCCACCAATAATCGGACGCATTTCCTTAATCCCAAATTTCCGCACACTTTTAACGGTGAGATGCGCTGCGAGATTGCCGTCAAACTGCCCGAAGATATCTGTCAACTGAGGCTCCAATTCGTTCAGCTCTTGCTGTCCAACCCGTGGCGCTCGCAGTGTATTATCGATGCGCTCACTATTCCGTACTCATCGAAGGTGCCGGTGCTCTGCGGAAACCTAACCGATCAGCACAGTATGCATTCAAGTATAACACTGTATTACAACCTATCACAAAATCAATTGTTTTTATGTGTTGTCAGTCTATTTGGACGCCAAAGGCGTCAAAGAGATCCTAATAATCATAACGACAACCGGCAAAGAGTGGCAGAGGTATTGGAATATTGAGATTCAGTTCATTCAATGCGATCTTCTAGTCAAAGGTGTGACCACTCATTGAATATCATATCATATAATTGTAATCAATTATATCTGAATGTCATTCAGCGCCCAATGGTTGCCTCCAATACTATACGGGAATCCATGGTTTGGTGAAGACATTCAACTTTGATTGCTTCCGACGGGTGGCCGAAGACGGACGCAAGGAGTGTCTCATCGCTAATCTCGAGTACAATATCTGCATCCGAATGGAGAGCCAGATGTGCGCCATTGAGTGGACACCCAATTACTTCGATATGGGACCGGAAGGGGTGATGGCCTCACAGAGGGGCGACTGTAATCACAATCATCTGAAACCACGTGCCATTTTCTAACAAATTGTCTCACAGTTTGTCAACAGAATTACATAACCATAGAAAACGCCAAAATCGTCACAAAAGACATCGAAATGCAAAACATTAAGAGTTTCGATAGATTTTGCGGAAAAGCTCTGAATATCGACCGAAACAATAAGACAAGTATTCCTCTCATAAGTCAGTCCCTGTGCTGTCCATCGGACTTATGGCTCATAATAAGTGATCTTCAATCGCACCACAGGTACGGCCAAACCCTTCCAGGTGGGGGTCACCACTGCCTACCATTTCAGAGGAGGCTTCAGAGGGGCGTCCTTTTCGTACGACCAGAAAGTCTGTATCGACTCTAATGTGTGATTAGTTGGCAATCTTTGTCATAATCTTTGCATTTATTCGTAAAAAACAATTAAAATCTCATAAAATAATCTAAAATCACAATAAATTCAATGAAAACCAATGAATTGAGAGACCGATTGATCACTCATTTGTCGATTGAGTACTTCTTTGAGTGGATCTCTGGACGCCTTTCCTTCGCGACTGAATGACAGTCAACTGGTTCTCAATATTCTTAATGATATCAATGTCTTCAGGGATGTGAACCATTCGTATTCGCGAGCCTTTGAGGAAGTAGTAGTCAAACGATTGGATGAGTTGGTGGTCGTGGTCT